CCAAGTGAAGACAATCTCCTTTGGGAAGGTTCAGCTTTAGGTGTTCTGTGTAGGATGAAACGTGCCAGTGGTTCCAGCACTGATTAACCGAGGTCACACAAAATATATGTGTGGCATGAAAAACTATATATACATTAACTCTGGGCTGTTTTTGCACTAGTTGAAATATGGTGGCACAACTTGGAAAACATGTCCTAGGGAGTGGCTGTGCAATATTTTTTACATAGACAGGTGAGATAAAAGGCTCATTTTGTAATGTAGCAGTTGAAACTTAATTTATCTACGGTGATTTGGGTTTGATGATTTAGGGGGTTGTTTCCTTCCTTTAAATAGTAATATTAAACCATGCCACCAGCAAAGGAAATATACTGTTAATTAAATCAATGGTCAAAACAATCTAGGGATTTATAAGGAGCTTTGTTAAGACTTTTTGCAGTGGGTTTATGTGTCCAGAACAAAGCAGATGGAGAAAATGGACACTTGGTGTATAAGAAGAGAAACAGGGCCATGTGTAACTATTACTGCTAGTTAGACTTATTCTTTCCCTTGGCTAACGTACTCTACCAAAACACTACAGCATCCTGAAGTGAGGTAAGAGGGGAGGATAAACAGGGTGGGTGAGAAGGTGCAATGTATTAAAGAAAGAAATTATGCAGAAGTTCACCTGCTGTTGTCAAGATCAAGACATGGAGAAGAGCATCTGCAATAGAATAGATGATTTAACATCAAAAAGGAAAAGAAAGAGGAAAAAAAAGAATGAGTTAAATGAAATACTGAAATATTGGAGAAATGAAACAGATTTCTAAACCAAACATATGAACATATACATACATATGCATATCCATCACATGTGAGAAGGTAGGAGTGAGTGTGGGAAATCAGCCTACGCAAACACCCTCCATTACAAATGGTCACTGCTACTACAGCAGTAAAACTCGAGTGATCTGGTTTCTCCTCACACATTCTCACACTGAAACCCAGATACCTAAAATGTATAGTCAGACTCTGAGTAAAACTTCCAGATGCAGATTAGGGGAAGTGCTGCTTGGTTTAGGCATCCACATCCCAAACGTGGACTGTGGTACATCGGAGGGTATCTATGGCAACTCCAGCCAGGATTTCTGACAACACAATAAATCATGACTTTCTCCTCTTCAAATTCCCTGTCAATACATTCTGCCCTCCACTTTCTTCCATTTCAACATGTTTCTTGTCCTCCTTTTGTTTCACAGAAAGACAAATTTCAGACTTTCAGTTTGACCTGTTTAGGCTCTTAGTAATGTGCCACAGGGCCAGTTAGTGTTCTGCTGTCCCTTTTGATTCCATGTCTCTCCATTGCCATTTTCTTCCATTAACACTGATTTGCTCTTAATGAAACACACCCGCTGGTTTTCCTGATTGGAACTTTCTGAACAAAAGTCACAAAGCTACAGCATAATTTGAAATCATTGAGACTCTCAGATTTAAGAAGTGACTATCAGCTGGTCGCTGCCAGGTCCTGTTTCCATCACGATTTCCAGGAAATCAGTCTCACATTGGGGAAAAACAGTATTATGGGTTCAAAGCACAATACTTGAAATGCATTTTGTTTACCTTGTTAGCAAGGATCCAGCCTCCTTTTTTGCAGACATGCAGCTAAGAATGATAATTCACATTATTTGTCACAGTACAAGCTGCCCACTCCCTCATCCTTCTCCTTTTCCATTGGTGGAAGCAACAGCTCCCAGAACAGTAAATGCACTCATAACATCCCAACTGCTCATTTTTCTCAAGGTGCAAGTACTGATACACTCAGATCATCTATTAGTCAAATATGATCTTCTTCATCAAATTACACCAATCAGTATCTTTCATTAAACAGGAGTTTTACTGTGAGCAAGGCAGAGGTGGAAAACCTGTGGAGCTGCTAGAACACAAAATCCAGTTAATATCAAAGCTCCTTCCTCACACTGCCATGTTCCTGACAGCCTGACAGATTTGCCTCTCTTCTTATCTACTCTTACACCTCTGCTTAGTTGTCAGTAAAATTCTTAGCAATATAATCTATACAACTAAGTTTTCACTGTATCACCAGAACGTATGGAAACTATGTGTTTTAGCACACCATTTAAACTTTCAGTTCTCAGATTCAGCCTTATCTTTATTATTCATGCTCAACTCTTACGGGTGATAAGACTATGGTGCTGCTAAGCAATGTCTAAATGCTGCAAGTGAAAAGAAATCTTTCAGTTCAGTGCTTCTTTTTCCTTCCAATTTCAAGGAAATTTGTGTTCTTCCACAACAGGATATTGTGGGGTATGAGACTGAAACTGTGAAACTCATTTATGTAGGAATTAGTTCTGTCTCTCACAAAGCTCCAGAAGGGAACTATAAATAACAGCCCCTAATATCACCAGTAAAGTGACGAAACTCTCTTTTATTGGATGTTTAGCACACAAACTTTCTGTCATAGTCAGAGAGGAGCCTCAACTTTGCTCAGTGTGTATGATCAGATTGTTTTATCAGAAGCAAATCTGATTTGCTGAAAGGGAGTTTAAATGCAGGATTTTATACTTTTTCCTTCAGCAATGTATAAAACTATTTGGAAACAACTGTAAAACGAGCAGGAGTTGTTTAAGTTGTGCTTGTGAGCACCAAAAGAGTGTTACCTCTTAAGAGAGATTTACTTCCTGGGTTTCAAAACAGCTGCCAAAGCCTGACCAAACATCTTTCTGATGCAATTATCAACGTGCTGAAACAATAATTAGGTTTACATTTTAAGTGGATAGTTACAACATTTTCCCCTTCTGAAATGTCAGGCCTAGCAGAAGTTTTGGTGAGTTATGCAGAGGCTGAAATATGTGCCTGTGAAATTCCACACCGAGAGAACAGTTCTCTGTGAACTTCAGCTTTTGCCCAGGAGTGTCACACTGTGACTTCCTACACTGGCAGAGCAGTAAGAATCAGCTTGGGGTTAGCCACTGAAGTGGTGCAGAGAGAGAAGAGTGACATTTGTTCCCTTGGATTGCACAGAATACAAACTTAAAATCATCTGTGCCAAATAAATCACTACCCAATACTTTTACTTTCACAACACAATCTGTGTTCAAGACATTTTCAGTGCATTGAGCAAAACCAAGGCCATAGCCTTGCCTAAAGCAACTATCAATGTTTATACAGGATTCCTTTGCAAACACAGAGTTTTCTTCCAGGACAGACACATTATACTTCACTGTGTGCTGCTTCACAAGAACCTGCTCCTGTGTCTGTGTATGGAGGAGGCTGTAGGTGATGAGAGAGGTATAAATGACAAGTAGATTTGTTGTTCCAGCAGAGTGAATGCAACAATCATGTACTCAGGGCTTCTACAACTGTTTCACTTTGAAAATAAGGTCTTACAAGTGAAACTCTAGTAGTCAATGTACTGTCCTAAGAAGGAGATGTGAACAAGATGCAGCCCAATGGTTCATGATAACTTGGACACATCTAAGCAAGATAAAAATGAAGTGCTGCACAGTCTTTTCTAAAGGCTGAGGAATCATTATAGGTTTCTTCACTACAATATTTACTAGCAAATTAGTTGATATGTACAGAAAGAAGAACAGTATTTGTGTCATGTTCAAAGTCACTGTTTCATATAAAGCTGCATAGAGTGTTGCTCCTATTAAAATCAGATCTTATCCTACCACTAGCATTCTGCTCATCCAAAACATTAAAACATTACTAATATTATTTGAAGGGAAACCACAAAATGATTGCACATCCAAGAAATTAATGCCACTTTCCTAGGAAAATATTTAGTTCCTCCTCTGCAAGCACAGGAAAGACCTACCTTTCTCAAAGGGAAAACTAATGCATCCTTTGGAAAAACTCTGTCAAGTCTTTAGGGTTAGAATGAAGCACCAAAGCAATTTCAAAGCTTACATAGCAATGTATACATAAGCACATACATACTTTACATATTAAGTGTTTTCATTTCACTTATTAGTTTTAGAGCTCATGAAATGCAAATCCAAACAACACTGGTCACAGCCAAGTATCCTCCTATCAGCTACCAAACAAAGTTCTCATCTATGTCACACCAGTCAGTTTGCAGTCACAGTTATGACAATACTGTCCCTCCCCTAGACCAGGACTCCTGTCATTCCAAATGGGACTCCAGAGGTGTTTCTTGAAAGTTATGAACTGTAAGACAGTTGAAAACTAATTTAAGAGTAACAAATAATCTTTCCCCCTGTGATGTCCAGCCATGCTGTGTACAATGCAGCACCACAGAAATCACTGTCCTGTGATTACATCAGGTCCTTAAGAATTCATCTGCACATTCCTCAGCAAACCTGATGGCAGGACACAGTGTAGAATTCAGTGTGGAGAATAAAATTACTTCAAACACAATAAAAACAAATGCACTCTCAGATTTCTGGGCCAGCCAGAAGAAGTTTTGTAGGCATGACCTGGGCTGGGCCTGCAGTTTGTCCTGCCTTATGCCATGGCAATGAGTTTGCCTAAATGCAAATGCTTACAAAGAGTCAGCTGTGAGAACACATGAACAGAGAGGCCAAATATGTGTCAACCACACAATGTTTAGGTTGTATTCATGTAATTTAAAATCCTTGGGTTTTTTCTCAGTAATCATGACAAATACTAGAGTTGGTGCTCACCTAAGCTACTCCACTAGCACACTAAGTACTCACCAGCTGGATTGATTAGGTCCTTGGTCTCAATTAGTACCAGTTCTAAAAAGGCACTGTCTACTCCTCCATAAAATTCACACAAATGCCTGTGTGTATGTGTCAGTTATTTCATTCATTGCTCCTGACCTTGACTGAGGGCTCACTGACTTGCAGAGATTTCAGACCTGGTACTCAGGCAGAGTGTCAGAAATTAAGAGATCATAATTTATTGACAGCTCCAGGAGGCAATGAATTAAAATACAGCTCCTAGTTCAGCATTAGTTGAAGCTGCTGCCACTGCAGGTGCTGTTTCTTATTTTTGAGTATAAAGCTAACTGATAAACTCACCCTGAGTGAATAGGGCTGGAAGAAAGAGCCACGTTGTCCAAGTTCTCAGGGCCCCAGCTCAAGCGATATGAATTCCTTTCGGCTTCTTTGGCCAGAGTTGTTACCTTGGGAAGCAGAAAAAAACCCCTTTTTATTATTGCAATGAAATCAATTAACCAATGAAACAATAAGATGCATTTTGCATAGTAGTGCCTAAAGCATTTAAATTTTATCAAAAAGAAAACAAAGAAGTAATAATAGCATTAAGATATTAAAACCTCCTTATTGTAACATTTTGTATTTGCTTACAGTAATCCTGTGTTAATGGTCTTGGTGAAACGAATGCTGTGATTTACCAAAGGGACAGTTCCTAAATCTCTTTTTTTAACATCATAGTATGCACATCATAGTATGTTAAGGGGTAGGAATGGACCTTACAGATCATCTAGTCCCAACCCTCTGCCCTGGGCAGGGACACCTCCCACCAGACCAGGCTGCTCAAGGTTTTATCTAACCTAGATACAAGTTTCAGGAGAGTATCTTTGAGGATAATTGCTGTGAGTTCATTAGATGACCTGAATATTTAGCCTGATGGATGTTAGCAACATTCAAAGATCAGTTCAAATGGAAACATTAATAACAGTCACACAGCTCACTCGTTTGTTTTGGAATTGATTTGAACACTGCACAGCACAATAAGCCATTAAATACCAATGAAATTGAGATTTGCATTAAAACAAACAAAGCAGCATATATCACATAGGCTCATCAGTACAATTCACACTACAATCTGTTTCTATTTCCCTGCTTCTCCCCCCCAGTGAGTCGAAGAGCTCTGCTTACCTGCTGGCTGGGGATCACCACGGTGTCGTCGATCATGGCGCTGTCCCGCAGGTAGGAGGCATGGCTCAAGGTATGGGACCTGTCTGAACTGAAGGATCGCAGGCTGGGAGGTTGGTAGGGTGCCAGAGCAATGGATCAGCAGCACAGATGATGTTGCAAAGGTGTCATGACAGATCGAGTGGGAGAATGAGAAAAGCATGCGATTAGCAACATGATGCAGCTTCCAGGGGGAGCAGATCACGGGGGAAACAGCTTTACACAGCTGTGTCGTGGCAACCAGGGCCACAAAGCCTTTTGGCTGACCTATCTGACTCAAAATTCAGGACCTAGAGGTTAATCTAGATGACAGGTTATTTTATACTCACAAATCCTTTAGACTCAGCTTTGTGGCATGATAGTTTCCTCAGAGTGAAGAGCATTGATTTCTTTCAAGGCTCTTTGGAGAGGCTCTCTGCTACATCACACAAGCAAACCACTGTGGGAAACCAGAATGCTACCACCTGAAGAAAAGCTGAAATGACTCTCTGAAGCTTTATGACCTACCCTCTCCCCTTAAAACTCTAAGTAAGCTTGACGTTGTCCCCTGGAAGGTACACACAGCAAGGTGAATTGTGGCCAGCCACAAGCTCCTGTGTGACACAGAATTCCTCCCCGGAATGCCAACAGCACCTTTAGGGAGGCAGCAGTGCTTTGGCTATAAGTACACACAGCTCTACAGAGCACTGGTTGCTGTAGCAATGAGAGATGCAAGGCAGTAAATAAGCTGCTTCCAAGCACTGGCTCAGAGTGTAACTGCAGTATCCACTAGCAAAAAGCGAAAAAACAAGACAAGTAAGACACCACAGAAGGACATACTGAGGTAAATGGGGTTTCTGCTACCAGATAGCACTAGTTTTGCCCCTTCAACATTCACTCACAGCAGTATTACAAGAGTGATTTGTAAAAACAGATCAACCACCTCCAGATGTTGTGTGTATACTGTGTTATGTTGATCTAGATCTTGAGGAATATAGCACATATAACTGAAGGAAGCAGTTTCCTTTTCCTGGCTTACACATCCATGAGTTGTGCTCATAATGACTAAGTGCTGGATCAGAACAATAGGCCATTTATCTACACACACAGGTTTTTAAGGGATAATTCATTCCCAGCAGTTAGCAAGAAAGAAGTCACGTATTCATCAAGGACACGAGTTTCAAGTGCTTTAAGTGCAGATTAAATACCATCTGATTCAGACCACTCATCCTTTTTTAACAATAGCTACATTCACTTGATATTTTTTGATCCATTTATAGGAGCAAATTTTTATCTCATTTCTATTATAAATATATGACATTGAAGAATAATCAATGCCCTTGATGATTGACTTAAACCAATGGCCTGTTTAGCATCCTCGATGGATTGTACAACACTGGGAGCAAAGACAGGCGTTGCACAAGGATCAGCCTTTGGAAAGCCTTGAGAGAAAAAACCAAATCAACAATGAACATTTGTTCTTTGGTTGGGAAATGAGCCTCCGTAGCAGACCCCATTTGCCATCATTATCCTGTGTTCATTTCCATGTTTGACACTCCCAGAACTGCTTCGCTGTGCCATGCAATGCTCATGAGAGAGTCACCATCCAAGCTGTAGGTTCTGCTATTCAGCTAAAGTCATGCCCTGCATAGATACTGAATGAGAGGAAGTCTGGACTAGATTTGGCTGGTTATCTCTATGGTGATTCTGTCCACCTGCACTGCTGCCACCACCACAAGTAGCCCAGTACATATCCACTATGCGCTACCTGTATGCAAGCTCCAGTAAATCCATGGAGGGTATGGACTCTATCTACAGGCAAGGTAAGCACAGACATGACTGAGGTCTGCAGGTAATTAGGGGGTTAAATTTCCTGCTACACTTAATTGCAAAACTAGTGTTCAGCTGGCACTGCCCTCTCTGTGTGCTGGAGCAGCTAAATGAAGAGCAAACCAGCAGTTAAAAGGTCAGTGCTCCTGTGACTCAGAAATAAAGGTCCTGACTGGAATGGCAGTCCAGTTATGGACTGAACACAGAAGTTAGTGCTTATTGTTTTAATACATATTCAGGAATCCTATTAAATAAAAAAGCCTACCTAAATCAGAGACAAAACTAATGTCTAAATACAGATTCTTTCCAAAGCTGGTTGATAAATCTAAAGTCACAGGGGTTGTGGGGCCATTAGCACTGTACTCAGCCCTCGAGACAGAACTGTGGGACCAAGGAATACTACAAAGCTCCTGAACATTAGACTGTGCTTTGTCCACATTAGGTAATCATAGAATCATAGAATTTAGAGGTTGGAATGGACCTTACAGACCATCTAGTCCCAACCCCCTGCCCTGGGCAGGGACACCTCCTCACTAGATCAGGTTGCTCAAGGTCTCATTCAGCCTGGCCTTGAACACCACCAGGCTTGGGGCAGCCTCCACGTCCCTGGGCAACCTGTGCCAGTGTCTCACCACACTCAGAGTAAAACGCTTTTTTCTCACATCCAACCTAGACTTTTACTCCTTCAGTTTGAACCCATTACCCCTTGTCCTATCATGGCAGTAATGCACAGGAATGTATCACCTGCCTCTTCTAAGCCTTGAATAAGGCCCAGGTGGTATCCAGAAAATAAGAGCAGCATTCCCTAGCCAAATTCCTCGCCTGGATGACTGGGAGACAGTGTTGCAAAACACATCCACTTCCCAGCCTAGACAGAGCTCTAGCAAGCTCCAGTCCAGATGAGTCTCTCTCTTGTTAAAGCATATGTTTCAGAAGATGAAAAAAGCCCTTTGTATCATTGAAAACTGTATAAATCAACACTGAAAACATTTCTCAACAGCAGCAGCAGCATCCATTTGGCTCTCCAAATCGACTGTCTGGCATACAGCAGGCCTCCAAGGTGGACGAACAGATACAGGTGCCATAGAAGGGTAGAGAGACAACAGGTGTTCATGCTATGTGATACCTACCTGGGCATGATGCTAATGAAAGCATATGGAAAAGGAAAGAAATGAAGGGAAGAGAGAAATAAAATAAATAGGGAAGATGGTTACAAATGAAAAATCTATGTTTCAAAATCAAACTGTTTAATGCATAAGATTCCATGAGTCTAGACTGATAACAATATTCTGCTTTACTGAGTTTCTTGAAAAACCAAAGTCAGTGTAATGCAATGAAAATCACACTAAAGCAAAGGCAAAACAATGAAAGTAGAGTCTGTGAAAATTCTTACAACCAATAACCTGACAGTGACCGAAAATGAGACCATGGAGTTAGAAAGATGTCCTTCTTCTTTCATTCTTTCTCCCTGGATAATTTTGCTTCATTTCCATGTAACCATACTGGACACAGGATGTGAAATTGTTTTCATACAACACAAAATCAACCACAATTACACGTCAGTGAAAAATCTACTGAAATCCAAGATTTAAAATGTCAGATATCCCAAACGGGAGGAAACTGGCTTAACACTTGCCTGCACAATCACTTCTATGGAACATCTTCAAACTTTGTTACCACTGAAAGAATAAAAGGCCCTGATTTTAAGCATTCTGGTGCAGTTCATAAACTTCCTCTGAGAGTTAAAAAGCCACACAGACACTTTGTTTCCAGTGGACTCACTGGAACTGTCTAAAAACCAACAAAGGCTCCAGGCTTGTGAGATCTGAATGATGGGATTTACACATGCTGTGAGGGAATCCAAACTGTTTCCTGACATCCTTTGTTCCAGGAGCAATTCACAGCCTCCTGAAGTAAACAGAACGGATCCTACTGATTCCACTGAGCTTGGGAAATGCTGCCAGAATAGCAATCAGGGCTGGAAAATGAGGGAGGTTAAAAATCCTGCTGCCAGGATTCCAACTTTTTTCTTTCATTCCCTTTAGTGCACCCCAGTTCTACAGGCTGTAAGTGTGGAGACATTGCTGATTTACACCAGACATCTCATAACCAGGCATGCCCAGGAAGTTACTCTGAACTAGAACTGTAGGTGCTTATCTGCCAGCTTGAGTCTGCACTGATGCTCACTGGTAAAGGCTCTCACTCTGAGGAGGGAACTCCAGAGGTTTTTGTCATGTATTGTGACATCTTTAAAATTGGGATAAAAAAACATTCAAGCTACAGGTGTTATTATTCCACAAACACATTTAGGCTCAAGTTCAATCAGTCAGATACAAGCAAATCAGTACATTTTCTGGACTGAACACATTTATTTGTCTATTTTGTTATTTAAAACATAAATCCTGTGCTGTGCCTGTAGAAGGAAAATGATTCTCTTCCCTGCTAGTTCAGCCACGAGGAAACAGAAAGTGGATGTGCTTGCTGATTCACTGCCAGGCCAGCACAGAATGACCAAGTCCATTGCTTCTTTCCTGACATCTACAGCCAACAAACCAGTGCACAAGGCTGGCTCACACCTGATGCTCCATCACCCTGTCCACCCGTGCCAGCAGGAGATGGGGATGACCACACCTGCTTCCTGCGAAGTGGCAACTGCCAGACTGACATACCAAATGAACAAATGCTGACAAGTGCATCCCATGGAGAGAGACGCTGAAAAGGGGTTTCAAACATTTGCAGCAAAATGAGTGCAGGATTATCAAAAGAAAAGTGATGAATCCAGGGAAATACCTGTCTGACCGTCCTCCTTCCAAGCTGTACCTCAGGTAGTTCATACCATCCAGGAACTGGCTGCTTGGCAGAGAGTCATCTCCTAGTTCTCGGAGGTCTTCTGGCCTGAGGTACTCCCCTCCATCCCCTGTCATCGTGTCATCACCTGTGAGTTAGCCACAGAAGGGACAGAGATAAGCACACATAGGAGTTTGATTCCATTGGCATGTTGGGATTTACAGCCACATGGCACAATAAGCAGGAAGGCATTTGCCACTCAGGAAACACTGCAAACCACAAGCAGTTAATGTTTGAATGAAACTGACACATCAAGCAAGATGTTTTGAAAAGAACTGAAATAAAGGTGATTAATCAGTTAGACTTAATCTGTTTGGCTGTTGCACCTACTGGTAAGGGGCAAATTTCTTTGTTACTCTCTAAGCCATGGTGTCTCTGTTCCCTAATCCATTTCGGCTCTCAGGCTGTATCCCAGCCTGACAGTTTAGGGTTAAATATCACCATTTATTTGACTCTAATCCATGTATTTTCAGCTAAAATTGTGTTTTCTGTGGCTTTATGCCTTATACTTGCAAATCCTGATTTAAACTGCACTGTCCAAACCTCCACATTACATGAGGCTCTCTCCCCCATGCTCCTACATCCCTCTAAGATCAGCAATGAAATTCCTGTTTCTAAAGCACAGCAACATCCAGCAACTGGAAATCAGCTCACAGGCATGGATGGGAATGATCACTCTCAGAAAAGGAATTCATAATGAATCACAGCCTAAATGATCAGTGGTTATCTGACACAGTAACCTTTTTGTATCTCCTCCAAATAACAGGGTTGAATCCTTTATTTTTTAGGATTCTCCCCAGGAAATTCTATCTATCTGAAGTCACAGTTTGCTTTTCCCCAGCAGGCTAACAAAGCAGATTGCATTGCCAAGCAACATGTAGATGTTTCTTTTCATTCCCATTTGCAAGATGGTTTGTCTCAGTAATTCCTGCCTGGATATTTCAGTCATTTTCCCAGTTAATTACGACTGTTTGAGCCTGCCAGGGCCTTGCTGTGGCCCATGGAGCCACACAGCATGACCCCAGGCCACCAACAGCTTCAAACTTTCTCATTCCCTAAGCTGCATGGGCAAACTGAAGCTCATCTTGATAACTGTTTTTACAACACAAATCAAGCTACTCTTTCTAGCTTGATGTCTCAGCAAAGAAATAAACAACTTATTATTTGCCACCTAAAACTAAGTAAACTTTGGGGGAGTTTAAGATTCTTTTGGTACCCACAAATATGATATGTAAAAAGGAGGCTCAAATCTTTTCAGGATAACAACAAAAGCTCTTGAAAATTCCATCTGCCCACATTAAGAGGGAGAAACTGGGCACAGTTTCACAGAAAACAATAAAATGCATTTAATCATTTCATGTTTCCTGTCTCCTGATAGACGATGCCTCCTGCTTCCTGGGAATGTCACGTTATAAAGCACAGGGCTTAGTGAAAACTTGGAAGATATTAAGGCAATGCTGTTAATCAAACAGCAGAAGGAATTTCAAGTCATATTTCAAATAAACTGGATATCTATTATCATGCCAGACATACCATCTAGGATAGAAACAAAGGCAAAATCTCCACCGCTTTGATCACACCCACATCCTTTAAAGAAAAAATAAATCCTAAGTCTACTCTTCTTTCAGCTTTGGCCTCTCATCTAAGAGTTGTCAATACCAGGGCTAAGCACCTCTGTTTGATGTGATATGAACATCTGCAAACAGTAACCAGATCATCCATGGATATCTCACAGTGTCTTCAGAGCATTTATCTGTTGGTAACACTACTTACTTGCTAGCAGACTAGTCTTGAGTCAACCAGAAGACAAAGTCACTCCCTGCCAATCTCTTGTGCCCTTCCATCTTTCCTTAATGAGATAAACTCCCCAAACCAGCACTGTCTCCTAGTATATGAAGGGAAAAAATTAGTATTTAAGTCTAAATGATTGCATGTTCAGCTAACCATGAGCTTTCTTACACAGCACATCTTACCAGATGGTAGCTTTGTGGTGATACAAGAAATCACCCTTTTAATCATGCTAGAAATTATCTGTCGGTCATCACATTGCCCATCAAATTCATGACAGGAAAGTTTGCACCATTTCCTAAGCAGCTTGGGACAAATATAACCCTTGGTATCAATGCTCCTTGATTTCCAGTGGCCATCTATAAACTTACAGGTAGATTTCAATGAGTTACCTGCTCAGTGATTTATCTTCTATTTACTTTGTCTATTATTTAACAGCTTCCAGGCTGATGCCCTGCACTTGTTGCTGCTCATGTCACATATCTGAACACATTTTTGAGCATTATAAATCATGGAACAGACTACTAAAAGGCACAGGCTGCAAGCTGAGACCACATATCTGCCCCTCCAGTGGCTGGACACACAGGATTAAACCAAACCATTGAAACTGGAGACCCACACTGGTACTGCTCTACTTACATCTGCAGAGTCAAGTCCTTTAGGAAAGGCTCAACAAAGGCAGTTCCTACCATTCCTACAGTTCTCCTGCTTGTAAATGAGTTGCAAAATACAACTGCTGCATGAAAATTGCTCTGGAATTGTTTCTCACAAAACACAGAGAGAATTTAGGCAAAAGGCAAAAAGATAGAGGGCTGTTTCAGAAACGACCAGAAATGGCTTTTAATAGATGTTTTTAAAGCCAGGTAACAGTTATGGGAGTTTGCCAAAATGATTGTAGTCTCTGCAGCATGCAGATAAGTCTACAGCTCACCACAGAAGTGCTGCTCCTTGAAACAGGTCAAGAAGGGACAGCTATGGCAAGCACAAATTTTTATGGAATACACAGGACCTGAAGCATCTTTAAAGGAATGGATAATGCAGAATTTCTCTGACACTCTCCTTGGATACCTTCACTTCCCTCAATCCTCTGTTTAGTGGCACACACACACTGTAAGCTTCCCTGAATTACAGTCTGGCTAATGCTTTAAATGTCCTTATTTTCAGCCAGCCAGGAAAGCAGAGTTTCACGTGTGGCTTCATGTGTGGCTTCAGACACTGATACATGACTTGGCATGACTCATCACGTCAGCTGTTGGGAGCTCACTGCAGCACCTGCAGAAAGGCACAAGGTGAAGCAAAGGAAAGAACTGTCTCTCTACCCTCCAGGATCTGCAGGAAGGGGAAGACACCTTGATTTTGTTTTCTTGCCAATTAACCTGCTGCAAAATGAGTTCCAGTACTTCACAGATGGCTACTCTGGTATTTTATGGAGTTGCTGGGTTGGATCTAGGTAACAAAGAATAACAGTATTGTCTTTTAGAATTGGACCAGAATAAACCCTCCCTACCTCCCTAAGGCATAGATTTACTTCTTTACATCAACAACCTTTGGCTACATTTTATGCTACTGATTATTAGATGCTTAATTTAGAGTGTGAATTCGTTCACCACTGCTATTCTGGATTTATGGTGCTTTAACGTACAGCAACAGCCACTGAAGTCTAACCAAGAAGAGCTCCCAGCTTCAACTTTAACTTCCAGGTTTAATTAAGTCTTTCAACTAATTCAGGTGCTCCTTCAGAGGAGTTATGTGCATGTACAGGAGCAGTGAATTCTACCCAGACTTAACTGATCATTTCTCAGACACATGCTGTAGTATTAGCCACCACAAGGCCATGTGAGGATGCACTCAGGAAATTCACTGTGGTGTTTTAGCACTGTGGGTTTTTACTCTTTAATCAGAGAGGGTAATCAGGTATGGATTAGTTGTGAACTGCCTCCTGGAATCTACGATCACATTATGATGTCCTTAAGTGAAGCAGCAGTTCACAGACCTGCCACCTCACAGACCTGAGGCATATTCAGGAAGGGAGAGCAAACCCCACTTTTATACACATACTGTGAATATGTTGGAATGAGGTAGCATCACAATTCTGAGTAAGCTTTAATATGTATTTTTGAGAGTCCATTGACTATTGGTACATGTTTGTTCACTCACCCTTTGTCTATCCCTTCTCTGCAATTGAAGTGTCAGCATTAATCACTGTTTGGTGTGAGCTGACCTTCATGGGAGCCATCTCAGGCCACGCTGCTTCTCATAGAGGTGTCTCACCTTCTACTTCAGCCTTTCTATTCCCTTCTGCCTGCAAAATTCGTCTGGATGGAAAGTAAGTCATCAGGACAAACAAAAGGATTAATTTTCAGACAGATCAGCTCTCTGGGTTGGTTCACCACATGGTGAAACGTTTGTGCTGCCAGAATGGAGGATGTGGGAAAGCACGGCTAGAGCCTGACAACTTCTGCAGCAGCCAGAACTTAGTCTCAAACACACAGTGAAACTGGAAAATTAACTGGACTGGAAACAGCAGGAGATGAGGAAGCTCAAAGAGAAACAAATGAGAGCTCTTGAACGTCCTGTTTTACTGGTTGTATCCTCTCCATACAGCACCACACTTACTGCACTAGCTCAGATGGGAGTCACAAAGATAAACCATGGATGGTTTGTACAGCTTTTTCACCACAGAAATAAAGCATGGACTGAGTACAGAGGAGCAGCAACATGTTCCTCAGTACACTATTAACTCTGGGAGAGTAAAAACCAGGTTCCTGCCTTTGCTCCATTTCCCTGTGTGTCTATACTGACTCAGCCCTGAGCAAAACATCTGCTTGTGCTTAACCTCACTAATTCTGTAGACATCACTAAAATAAACTCCACAAGATGCTTTGCAGTAGTTGTCCTTTAACTGCTCTAAGGATCCCTCAGGTGCAAAATGCTTCTTTTGTGGCAACAGCTTTAAAGGAACTAAACTTTGCAGCAACACTCACAGCCAAGGCAGATGCAATGCTAAAGATGCACAGGTGTTTTAGTGCAACTCTAGCCACAGTGGATAAACATGTAAACTGAAAAACTCTTAGGTCGCTCAGTCCATTCCAAATATCTTAAAGTAGCCTACACAGTGCAGGACCTTCCATACCAAGCTAAGTTATTTGAGAGATGATTTGGTCCTTTATTCTATACTATCAAGACTGGTTGTCATACAGTTATGCAACATAACTGTCAAAACACAAAATACTTAGCACCAGTGCTGAACAATGGGACCTGAAATACTTCCTTGCTCAAGTACTCTTCTTGTGTTCAATGTGATAATTATGTAGCCACAGCTGGCAGGTTTGCAGAGTCACAACAACTTATCCCAGAACATATTGTGTCACTTTACAGAACACAGTGTTAGAGAAACCTTCCTGCTAGCCTCTTATGAAGCTACACCATCACTGAAAGGTTCATCCTCTCTATTAAACAAGTTCTGTGGTCTTCCTGTCCCAAGCTATTTTAAGTTCCTGTGACAAGCACCATCCACGTTAGGGGTTTTTGCAGAGAATGTTAATGCAAAGCACTGGAGAGTATTAGTCATGCTGGACAGGCCCTTTAAGTTCTGCCAACATCCTCAAGATATAGGTAATAAATCTGAGGTTTTCTGGCTTCCCTTCTTCCTCCCACCTTTGAGGAGACACACACTCAGCCACACTCCAAACGTAAGCGCATAGGAGCAGTGTTAGGCACTCAGATTATGCAAATTTGTGCTGTTTCCACACAAAACCCAAACCAAACAGTCCAAGTTAAAGAGAAAGTTTGGAAGTCTTACTCCAGGAACTTCTGCTAACAGCACCTGTGCCACTATAGGCTTCCCCATCACTGACACGTTCATCATCAGAGTGTTTAAAGGCTGTACAACATACAAATTGGGTTGAGAAAAGGGAATACCCTGGATTAATCATGTAGAAGCAGAAAGACACACCAGGCTTTGTGGATTTAAGGGTGGCTCAGTGGCAGTTCAAAACACTGGGAGTAAATTCAACAAGGTGAACATAAGCCATAACTGCACAGGTCCTTGAATGTTTCTCAAGCAGAGACAAAGCAGCAAAAACACGCCTGAGGGAAATAATTTCACTGGTCATGATGCAGCAGAAAATAATTGGGTTTGAATCACACTTGTTTGCTTTAGCACTTTTAAACAAAAGTTGCATCTGGAGCCTAATCATCTTATTTTCTCAAGAGTATAACACAGTTATCAGCATAAATCCCATTTCTAAAAGCAACACAAGCAGTTGTACTGGCATTAATGACTGTCATTAACTTCCTGCACCATTAAGAACCACAAGCACTTCTGTGTTCTTTGTGAAACACCCAACCCTGCAACCTGTGTTCCTGAATCCTCAGGACTTCTGGAATAGTCACTCTGCAGATTATTTGCATGAAACAACAATAATAACAAGATCAAATGGCATATGTAAGATGCTGCAATATTCATTAACACTGCCAAGAGTGAAAAAGAACATAGAAAACTGTTGCAAATGTGTTTATCAGATGCTGTTGCGATTGAAATTTCTAAGGAGCCATTACTTATAGAAAGGGATGTTTTTAAGCCATTTCTGCACCTCTGCACTTCTGTGCTGTATAAAAGTGCAAGACTTTATCAATCCTTCCAGAAATTCACAGGAGATTTTGCTGGGATGTAGCTAAGCAGTACAACACGTGACTCCTGTCTGTACATGCAATGGACTCTGAAACCAAAGTGTAAAACTTACTAGCCTATTGTTACTTGATGTCACGCCATAGGTATCCATGAGTCCTGCGTGCCAAAATCTCCCCCAAGGGAACAGTCTCCTCACCTTCCACCTTGTGCCTCTTCTTACACAAATGTTTCCAATTAGGCAGAGCTCCTAGATATATGTATCTGATAGAGGTGGCATGGAGCCAAAAAATTACTGCTCAGATTCCTCTTTATGGGAGGGTCAAAGCCAGCCCTGAAATTTTCAGATCTGGAGCTGGGAAATGTCCTCATTTGTGGATTTGGTTCAGATCAGCTTTTTCTGAACTAGATGTAGGGGACCAGGGTGTTGCTTTATCCAAATGCCATGGTGATTACATCATTACTAAAGGCTACTACTGAGAGTTTCATTTCAAGCAGTGCAAAATGAAGATACCAAAGTACTTCAGCAGCTCCTGAGCCTATGTCACAGGTTACATAAATGATATGGAAGAGTAACTTAGAGTTGCTCACCTTCTTCATCTGACACATCCAGGACCTCAGTCATTGTCTCGGGTACATTTAGCTTGTGCTTCTCTGTGACAGTCTGCAAAGACAGAACCATCAATCCTCAAATCAAATACCAAACAGAGCAGCAAAGTTTGCAGCAGGATATTTCCACCAGCAACAGCAGTGGGACGTGTGTTTCCCCTTCCCCTAACTTTCCTTTCCACCATTACTCCAGAACTTCCTATTCTCAGTGCTGTATAGGGTAGCATTTCTTCTGGCAGAAAAGTACAAAAACATAAAGATAATGAGCTGGTCAGAGGAATAAAATTTATTTACAAATGGTGTATGCAGAACAATTCAGCTCAATGTTTCCAAGATGATTTTAAAATGAATTAGGTAATGTCTCCAGAAGAGCTTCACAAAGTTCTATGTGACATATGGAAATTATTAAATCCTAGAGCATTTGGAAATGAAGTTATGAATGATGTGAAATTCCTAAACTGAAAAATATGTGAAGGACTTACACAGATCACTTGAAACACTTCTCCCCCCACCAAAAAAAAGTGATTACACTGCATATTAATGATATCCTGTCCATATATCATGTCATAAATTATGTCACCCCCCAAAGCATGTACACATCAAAGGGAAAACAAAGTTATTTGAAGATTCTGATATATGTTGTATAATTTTATCTTCAGAAATGACTTCCAGGAGGAAACAGATGATGTCTGGGGTGCTGAATCAAGAATAGGGACACCCTTTCAGCATCTGGACTGGAGAAGGAGACGAAGAACATGAGAAATTGTCGGAAGTGTGAGGTGTAAAAAAGTTGCCTGCAGGAAAACTCTTCAAGTGTGTTACCACAGAGGAGACAAAATGCCAAGGGCTGAAAAAAGAGCAGTGACTAGAACTGCACTAGTCATAACCAAAAAATAGTGATTTCCCTGGCTCCACCCAGATGTGCAGCCAGTCAGCTGGAGTGGGGAGCTGTGGACAGCAGGCACACATCACCCCCTGAGGCATGTGGGAGCAGATGTGCCCTCTGGCATGGAGAAGAGTGTCAGGGGGCCATGTGTCTTTCTGCTGAAACTCCCACTGAGGTAGTGCTTCCCTCCCTGTTGTAGATACTATCTGTGGTGCATAAACTAACATTACATGCAAAAGCAGTGAAAGAGTATATAATGTGAGGGATAATTAAAGCCAGCCAAGCCCTGAGTCCCTTATGCAATGTGCTCTTGGGACAATGCCCACTGATAGCAAGCAGGGAAGCCAATAGCAGCTTTTCCTGATCCCGTTGTAACAAACTGACACACAGAGCATTCCTGATTATCGTAACACACTGCACTTCCATAAACCAACCGTGTTACCAACCATGCAATTGCTGGGAAATTTGCTTTTCAAATCTGCTTTACGTTTCTGAAATCTGTTTAACTGTGACAGCAGTTTTCACTCTACTGAGGTAAAGGGAAGAACAATGCCCTTTGCCTCGATTGGCAATCCCAATCAGGCCTCCTGAATTCACTCTCACTCATGAGCCAAGACAACTAATTATTTCTGCTGTGGCAGAACACATGTTCTGTGTTGGAAATTAGTTTATATTCATGGAATGCCTCCATCAATATGCCTGACTTTTCCCCCTGCATTCCCATGGCTTTCCTTGGATGGAAATGTCAGGCAGCCGTGGGGTGACAAGGTCAGTGATGACAGATGGGGAAGACTCTGCTGTTCAGGTGATGCTGACCTTGTCTCTTCAACAACACAGTTAACCAAGTCAAACTACAAGCTAAGTCAAAGTACAAGCTGCAGGTACAGACATCAGTGTGCACTTTGCTATTACCCTGGTAACTAAGCTTTATTTACCATCACATCAGTTTATTCCTAACTTAGACTTTACAGGCCCCTATATAACAGCAGTTTGGGCTCTGGCTGAGGCTCTCAGACCTTATTATTTATTTAGAGAGAAGCAAGGATACTTTATTTACTTCCTGACTTTCCTATCAGCCAGAAAAAAAAAGTATTACATAATTTAACAACAGAAACAAAGTTTGAGAAAGAGGCTCAGAACAGTGTGTGTGCATGTTTCAGAAGTGCAGTGCTGTTGCTGGAACACTGAACTCAGCAAGAATCATTAAGTCTACTTAATTCTTTGTTCAACTTATCATGAATTCCACTCCTAACAACTTTTGTTGGGAACTGATGTTTTTAAAGGAACATTTACTATAACACTTGAATTTTTTTAATTGATAGGCCACTCAGCACTCCATCATGAACTTTAGGCTTCTGTATTTGAGACCTTCATTGTAAGGTCAGATTTCCATCTGGTGGCATAGAATAATTCAGGTGCATAAACCCATATGGACTTTCAGCTACTATTTACTCAAGAGCAGCATACTGTAAACAACCTCAAAGCTCCTCATGCATTCATTTGGCCACAGGAAGACTATGCCTGTTTGTATAAAAGCCCCCAAACCTCTCAAAGTCCAGTTTATTCTGAGTTATTTCCTACTCATCTCTAATCTGTCAGTAAAAGTAAGTGCACTTGACTCTCTGTGTTGCTTTATATTCGTGTGGCTCTACTAATAACAACATTAATGCAAGCAAGAGGAAAATTTGTTCCAAGTTAGAGCAAAGCAAGGCTTTGGCACTGGAGATCTCTTCCTCATCTCAAACACCAGTGACTGGAATATCAATAAAGCATCAGGCTGTCTAACATCCTCCATGCACTGCTCAGCCACAACCTCAGAGAATGAGGTAGCTATGGTGACAGCACCTTCTTTTCAGTGCTCAACGCTGTGTTCAGGTCTGGCCACAACAACCTCACCATCTGGAGAACTTTACTGCAGGGAGTGCCTGGTGTTTATCCCTCCTTTTAAGGATTTGCTCTAAATTATGCTTAACATTCCCCACCACGAGCACCACCAGAGGTTTATATTCCATATATCCCTAAGGTACAAGGCTCAGATGAATTCATAGCTGGAGAACCTGCTGAGTTTATCGAGAGTTCCCACCTGACTTTTACAGCACACACACACAGATCAAGATTTCAGATTTCTCTTACATGTAAGCACTAAAGGTCAACTCTGCAAGGAAGGGTCAGTGTTTGATTTGGTCCTGAACCTCAGGCATCAGGTGTCTGGGAGAAAAATCCATTTCCCTCAAAGTTTAAAGAAACATTTATCCAAAGTAAATAACTCACAGGTGTTGTTTCCTAGTGCAATCCCTAAGAGTACCAAGATCTAACACTTACCTAAGACAAGGTACAAGGCTGCACAGTGCAACACAATCTACAATGGAAGGGAAGTTACAGCTTATTTCAGACAATAAAGGAAAGACTCGTGCCAGGACACAGCACAGAGAAGAGCAAAGTGTCCTTTGAGGCTTAAAAATACAACAGCTGAAGTTTCTCAAACAATTTTACCGAGGTTTTCTAAGTCTCCGAATTACCTATGTGCTTATGCACATACATGTGTGATGTGCTACATGATTAAACAAGAGCATGAACTAAATAACAACCAAAACACACAGCCTATAGTGAGAGCCTTCTGGAATTACACTGGAATTCCTAGTCCAAACCTGACTCAGCCTGATTTTTGCAGGTCATTAATAAATTATGACTCACTCTATTTGTAACCTTATGCCATGTTACTTTTAGTCCATCTTCCCTGGTTCATATCACTGGGACTTGCTGTCAGCATGCAGCAAAATCAAAATGATTTTCCCAGTTCTTTACAAGAGATTTTGGGTTTCTTCCCTTCCTCTAACCCTTTCCCTGGCTGAGCAGTGGCATCTTTGAAGTAATCTGTGGATTTTTACAGCTCTGAGCTCCTAAACAACATCCAGAGCTGATGGGTTTTCTATACTGTAATCTTTATTGCCTTAAAAATAAAATAAACTAGAAAAGCATAAACTTACAACAGTGTTTCAAGTAACTGAGATTGAACATGGATTTCATTTCTGAAATTATGCACTTTTCCTAGTATCCTCCCTTCCTACCTGCTAAGACATTTGTAGATGGGAGGTAAAAGTCCAAGAAGGGAAAACCTTCCCCTCCCAGGATGCCTGAGTAGATCCAATTCCCCTGACTCCAAGCTGCTGATGTTCAGCACACACAAACCCTGACTTCAAAATGTCACTCCAGGAGTGTGGAGGACTGAGAGGACTGAGCACATCAGGAAAGATTCCTTTGTATTTTGGAAAAACAGGATGTGTTTCAACTGGAAGTGACTCGAGTAAGGAGATGATGGATGTGATTCACAGGGAGCATCACTAGGCTTGGCACCAGGCCATGGCTGGTACAGTCCACACGTGAAGATGCTCTCTGTGGTGTGCTGAAGGGTTGAGCCCCAGGAGGTGCCAAAAGTGTGGAGATGTAAGGACAGATGGAAAAGGAGAGGTGAAAAGGGAAATAGAGAAAAGGGACAGGATCTAAAAAACAATGCACAAACTTGGAGACTTTGGGTTTGCAGCTCAGACCCACACCTAGAAAAGTTTGGCTCTGCTTTTGAACTGCAGTTTTCCATCTGTATGTACACTGAGTTTGGTCCCTAGCTCAGTGAAGCCTGTCGTGTTGCACACACTTCCACATGCTCAAAAGCTACACTGAAAGCAAAAATCCAACAGAACAGGGGGACTAAAACCAGGAGACAAAATTAAAGGAGAGAGATACATGGCGAGCCTGAGGGCAGAGGAAAAAGACAACAGTCTGAATAAAGAAGAGAGACATTTGAATGCATCTGCAACTCACAGTTGTGGTGGTGGTGATCTCCTCCGTTACAACCTTCAGCGTATCGACCACGGAGATGTATCCGAGGCGCCTGGCGATGGCTAAGGCAGTGTTACCATTCTGAGGGAACAGGGAGAGGGGGAGAGAGCCGTGAGAGGGAGGACTGTGCTGAGGACCAATGAGCTCACTCCCCACGCTGCATGAGCCAGCATTTCCATCCAAAACAAGGCACAGCCTAGGAAAATCACGGCTTTCTTACCCTTACATCTGACTCTGGCTTTGCAACTTCTTTAAGACTATAGCCCCCATCGCCATGGCAACACAACACACATCTGCCAGAGTCCAAACACTCAGTGCTGTATGGTTTAACCCTTCAGGGCTCGCACTTCACCATACAGCAGTGTCCTGCCTGCAGGAGGTTGTGTTCTGCATAGACACCACAAACACACCTCAAAATAAAAATATTCTAACTTGTCACAGTATTGCTCCCAGTTGAAACTGTTACATCTTTAACAGGTACAATTCCCTCCCTGGGAACACGGGATTACAGCTGTGTTGCCCACACACACTTCTATCCCTTCTTACAACAAAAATGTATCTCCAATAAAAGTATACCAAAGCTAATGATGTAGCAAAGACAAAACGAACCTATTTAAGGTCAGGGAGTGGGGAATTAATATCAATTTAACTGCATTTATTTGCAGTTTGATGCCTGTGATATACAGATGTGACAATCATCAAATGCACATTAAAATGATGATTTAGTACGTGTTTAGTTCTTTTATCTCCTTGCCATCACCTGGAACAGTGGCAAGGGACAACATGCTGGGCTACTGGGGAATCATGGAATGTCACTGTGCCACTCTTTGCACTGAAGTGATTTCTCTTGTGACACCACTGTGCCATGTGCAGGATATCAGCCTGAGGGCTTCTCTCTACTTCAGTGCGGCCTTTAGTTATCTATAATTTAAATTCTTCTGTATTAGTCTGGCTCAGCAACCCTGAACCAACACAGGGTTTGTGGATTAGCGGCACAAAATGACTAGATTAACATCTTCACAGCACAAATAATGTGACTGTCACTTGCACATTAACTGCTCAAATCCCATTCCCACCTGCCCCTGCCAGAAGTCTCAGGTTGAAATTCTCTCCTATCTCAGGGCAGGGGTCGCTTTGTGTGGACAGGAACAGATTTATCACCTGATGAAGCAGCCAAACTGTGCAACAAAGACACATCCTTAAGATCCTGCTTGGACTTGGGGTAGATTTGGGCAGGACAACCCCAACATGAGGACTGAAATCAAGTGGAGAGACCTTTGGCTGAACACACCCAATAGTACCTACAGCCCCAGAAGGTACCTACACTGGTCTCTCACTTGATCTGGTGCACAAACTGCTATTTTGGATCACTTCACACAGACTCTTCAATGTGATCATTCCAGGACCATTCCAGGGCATTGGTGCTGAGTTAAGCATGCACACCATATGCACATGGAAAGCTGATCCACTCCAGGGAATGACACGAGTTTTGGACACTCTGGTTACATTGTAACAATCACCCAATTAAAGGTGACTAATAACAACATCAGTGTGAAATAGGACAGTTGCATTCCTGGCTGACTGCAGAGAAGGAGCTGTGCCAGAAGTTAGTGATGGTCTTGGAGGAGGAATTAACATCACTGAACTCAGTAAAAACCTGAAACAGATCCAGTGGTCAGAGGGACAGAAATTTAGGTCTAAATCTTTAAAACATAAAAAAGCCCAAGGTTTGATTTCTCCATAATTTTTATGGAAAAATCCTTATGGAGATATCGATTCACATATAGAACTGTTGAGGCAGAGGGAAACTGACCTAGCCCAGCACCTCCAGCTGTGGCCAGCCCATCCCTGCAGCTCAGAAATCCATTTCCCCACCTCACATTTAGCTCAGTGCACACTTAGACCAGATCTGAACTACCTTAAGAGGATAAGGAAGAGCAGAGGACATGACATTTACACATCTGACAACCAGCTGTAGGAGGAATACTTGCACCAAAACAAAGGCTTGACTCAAGCCCTAAGAAAGGAAAGCAAAGAACTGCCCAGGGAAATGAGCTCCCACTGGCACGTCACAGACTTACAGTGGTGATGGCGTTGGGCTTGGCCCCGTGCTGGAGGAGAACGTTGATGATGTGAGTGTGGCCTTGCTGAGCAGCTTGGTGAAGAGGGGTGTACCCATTCTGTTGTCCACAGTGGTGACAGCAAAAGCAAACAAACAAAGAACAACAAGTACCAGATTAGACACTTCTCTTCCTTCTGCTCCTCTGGAAACATTTCAAATATAAATTATGCCATCGATCGACACAAAGGTAATAAATCTTCAGCAATAATAGTTCTCCTTCCCTAGTTTAATGAAAATATAAAGGAAGGTAATATTTTTATCCATAAATCATCTTTATCTCACAATATAAGAAATCTCTGAACAGACATTTTTCCCTCAGTTCCTAAATCAGAGGGAGGAACAATGAGGAACAGCAAAGTTCAAGTAGCATGTTAAGGGCATAGAATCATAGCTGAGGAAGAGAACATTCCTCTTCCTCTCACATCTTAGTTTTCAACAGAAGCCCCAAGATTTGCCTTTGGAATATCTGAGCCAATTAAAAATCCATATAATTTTGAACAGCCGTGATTAGAGCCCATTTGCTTTTTAAAAGGCTAACAACATATACCCATTACAAATGTCAATCAATTTTAGCTTTACCTTGCCTTCCAAAGGCTGGACCAAGCTGTAATTACACTTAGAAACATGCACACAATGTCTGTATTAATAAACACATTTAACTCCATATACTTATCTGCTTCAGTGATTCATTCTAGAGCCACACAATACAGAAACACAACAAAAGTGTATTTCAGCTGGCTGAGCTGAGATGACATTGTGTAAGTCCAGTCAGGCAAGTCATTTACAAAATTACTTGCAATTGGCTTTGAAAGCAAGCAAAGAAGAAACTGGAAGAAAACATTGAGTTGATCTCACTGTACACTTACATAAAGCCTGGGGCAGGCTCTGAAACACACACTGAGAGTTATCTCTGTTGCAAACTCACAGATGCCAGTAATGCTTTGCACTGCTAATTAAACTGTGATAGTTCAGAACTGTTACAGTTCTTATATTTGCAGTTCTAGTGCAAAGCAAATCCACTGTCTTCACTTAAGTGCAGTCCTTCCAAAACAGAATTCAGCCGTGTTGTTTGTCACTGGCACAAAGCAATATGAAGGTTTTCTCTAGCTAAGAGACAAAGCTGCAACAGAGGTTACTTATTCTTTAACATGCCTATCCTGAATCCAGCCAGGATGGATTTGCTCTTTAAGCTGAGTACATAGTGCCAGCTGACACACTGCCAGGATTTTTATTGGTCCCTAGGTGTGAGGCTTTGGAGAATCACTGCCTCATACAAACTTGCTGACTTTTAAGAAACTATTCTAAACAAGAGAAATACCTGCAGAAATGGCATCAGAATCTGGCCCAGTGGCCCCTCAGACATAGATAGAGACTTGATACTAAAGGCACAAGTTTATCTGTCCCCTTAGGTAGCCTCCAGATTCCTCAGCTGAATATCTTGGCAGCTATTGTTTGGATCCTGCTAGTGTCTGCTTTATTAATTCTCATCAGCTCTTTCTCTAGGAGTGTTGCCTGTCCTTTTGGAATCCCTGGGTTTTGCCCATTGGTTTTAGGTAATCCCAGGAGGGATGGGCCAGAATCTTTCATTTACTTACTTGGCTGTTTCTTACCACACTGAGCTGTGATCATGGTGGTGAAACAAGTGCTACTTTGAGAAATGAATCCACCCCATAAAGTCACAGCTGAGGACACTGGAGATGACCAGAGGGACCAGCAGACCGCAAGGCTAGGATTTTGTTGGGTTCTTACTAAGTGCATCACTAGAAATATCCATAGGCTGCTTCATGTTGATCCAAAGACATCCAGCCTGAAAGTAGCAGCTTGCTATTGCCTAAATCCAGCTGTATCTAACCGAAGCCCTGCAGCTCCTGAGTTAGCCTTCTCTTTATGATAAGGTGATGTGATGATATATGGGGTGCCACACACTGCTGCTGTCACCAGAACCTGTGTATACTCAGGAGATACACAACTCTTGCTACGAAACACATCCCATTGAGCTGGTGTGCCTACCAGTTTATCCTAGGAGAAACTGCTGATACCAGTGGGCTTTGTTCCAACTTTGGCCCATTTCGGTGTGAGTACTAGTTAGTACCAGTGAACCCAGATTCTCCTCAAACCCCCCAAACCTGCCTTCAGTGAACTGCATTCCCCCACCACAGCTGCTTGCTCTCCCAGAGTCACCACCCACACATGGAACAGCAGTAACTCTTCCCACTCTTCTCCCAGCAGATTGGAGAGAACCTGGCATCACCCTGAAAGTGTCTGAATTGTAACTTACTAGTTTGACAGCACAGTGGTGTTACACTGGTGTAAACCATGTGTAAATGAGATCAGAAACAAACTTGCATTTGTCAGCTTGTTATCTGACTTTTCTTTCCTGTACACGACACAATGAGATGGAGCAGAGAGGAGACATTCCACTACAGCCATGGATCACTGCATGTTGACACTCCCATGCCCAGGATTACAGCTTCCAAGTGAAAAGGATCCTGTGCTGGGTTACTATGTTCTTAGTAAAGAGCAAAAGCAAAGCAATGAAAGATTCTTTACCTTAGTTTTAGCATTGACATTTGCTCCATGCTTGAGAAGAAAATTCACCATTTTGATGTTTCCATAGTGACAGGCCACAATTAAAGGTGTATAACCAAGCTACAAGAAGAGAACAAAGAAGTAACACTGCAGGCTCAGGGGAGCATTCCTTGGACACGGGTAGCATCCTTTGGCGTTCTGGAGACAGCAGCCACCCCATGATTTACCTTTGTCTGAGCATCCTGGTTTGCACCATGTTTGGTGAGTATTTCAGCTACATTCACTTTATCCTCCTGGGCTGCAAGGTGTAAGGATGTCAGTCCAGCCTGGAGGGGGAATACACAAAATAAATAGATAAAAATAAAAATAAACCTCTATTTTACATGAGGAATGAAATCTAGACTTTCCCACTTCCTCATCTTTAAAACATGAACAGATCCTAACTATAGCTTCTGAGCATGGGTGGTGTTTTGAAACAAAGTAGAGTTGATGTTGCTCCTGTTCCAACTGACAAACAGCTCCAAAGCAATTACATCACCACAACCCTAGAGGAAAACTTTCAGGCATCAATGCTCACACTCAGATTTGCTACAATGGTGTCACTTGGGAAGCTGAGGAGCCCATTAATAAATTAGGGAAGCACATTCACTGCGCTTCCCACTACTCAGATGGGAAAGGGAACCTTGACAACTGCAGGCACGAGTCAGAATGGAGAAATTAACTCCAGAAATAGATCCCACTCAAAGATGCCAAGGAAAAGGATGCAGTCTTTAGCTGAAAGCTCTCTGTGATCACACACACAGAGTGCTTCCTTGTGAACAAGGCACTGAACAAATGCTGTATGAGAAATGAAAATCAGCCTGCTTGTATCAGCAGGATACATTAATTCCAGATAAGGAGAGATGTGAGCCTTCTACTCTGACTTGTATGAGCAAAAGCTGCAGGTTTTTCATCCTCAGTAAATAAGATTTATATATAAATAAGATATTTATATCTCTGGATAAATCTGGTCACCTATGAAGATCTACAATAATGGCGGGGTTTTTTGAGCAACTTGTTTTCTATGAAAAGTTGTGATGTACAACCATTAAAAAAAACCCAAAACTGGAAAGGTCTTCCATAGGTGTCTCCTCAGTCTCTATTCCAGTAATAATGTTGCTTTGCTATTTGCCAGACACTGTCAATTTCTTCACTTGGGAAAAGGGCTGAAGGGTGAATACATGAGAAAAAGAGCCTTTTCTGGCAAGAGCACTGAACTATCTCAGGCTGTAGCTCTCAAGTTTCCAATACATGTGGTTAAATCTGCCCATGGACCCACAAACTTCAGAATTTTACATTCCTCTTCCTTTGCATCTAATGTAGAACTTCAGGAGCACATGCAAAACACCTGAGAGGTGGCAAGGATGCAGCACAATAAAAGCTCCTGCAGCCCTATCCTTCCTGAATACTCAAAAATATCCTCTTGGCCTGCCTTTCCTCCTTTAACCTCACTGTCAGAGCCAGGTGTTATGTACGTTTCCTCCAGTGGCAAACAGCCACAGCTCCTCCTGTAGATTACCCACTACAGCTAGTAATTACACAATTAAGCAGCTGATTATTTGCCAGTCCTGGATATTCTCTTCTCACGTTTACCCTTCACCCACCTGTGTCACTCCTGCAGAGCCACAAATAGGTATATAGGGACGTGAAGCTGAGAATTCCTGACAATACAACATCATTCCTACACTGCACTTTGCATCTCACTGGATGCTCCCACCCACAGTATTTTGTCTCTGGTTGTGAGTTACCTTTGTTGCCACATGGATGTTGGATCCTTTCTCCAAAAGCAGTGTCACCATGTCAGTGTGACCTTCTTGGGAGGCCAAGTGAAGAGGGGTGACTCCCTGCTTGGTCAAAATGTTGGTCTCAGCCCCATAGTTCAACAGAGTGGTAGCTATCTGCATCTGGTTTTTCTTGGCAGCGATATGCAGAGGGGTGTAGCCGTTCTAACATAAAAGGAGAATGAAGTTAACACAAGCTTAATAAGTCAGGCACCATAAACCATACGATTTGATGTTAGCCTTACTATTAAAGATGAGAGTTCATTAAATTTTCAAGGCCAGACATGGCCCTGCTGTTGTGCTGCTTTGTCCATCTGCTGTTTTCCTTGCCTGAAGCAGAACAAAGCCCTTGCCAGGGTGGGCAGGACTCTTCCTCTGACACCTTCAAATTACCCTGAGCTTGACACCTACACTTTGTACAACCCGTGCTGCAAATATTCTCCTTTGCCTGCTGACTGACATTCCCTGTGAAGGGTGCACACTTTTCATTGCATTATGCCCTTTTGTCTGGAGCCTGTGGGCAGTGATGTGTTTGCATATGGAATTCTGAAATGTGTGTCAGTCACTGGGGATGGGGAGGAGTGTTTTTGCCATGGAATTAACCATTTATGCCACAGCACAACGGCATTTTTTTCTGGCAATAAGACAACTTCCTAATTGCTTTGTAGCACAATCCTGGGTGGCAGCAGACAAGTCCTGCTGTGGTGGTTGGTTAGTTGGTCTGTGATTGGTTTATTTAAATAGGAGGTTTAACAAATTACCCTGCTCTCCACTACAAAAACCACAGCCACAATACAAGCCCTGAACAGAGAGACAAAGGACATTCTGGTGTCCAGTTTGGTCCCTATTTTCCCCTTCCAGGAGCCTTTGCCCTGCACAGTGGCACTACAACATTGCTCCTAACCCTGGAGTGAATTCCCCGTGTGCATGGTCAGGAAGTACACATAGAATCACAGAATTTAAGAGTTGAAATGCACCTTACAGATTATAGAATCATAGAATCAACCAGGTTGGAAGAGACCTCCAAGATCATCAAGTCCAACCCTACCATGGTTACTAAACCATGGCACTAAGTGCCACATCTAGTCCCATCTTGAAAACCTCCAGGGATGGTGAATCCACCCCCTTCCTGGGCAGCCCATTCCAATGCCTGAGCACTCTTCCCATAGCAAATCTCTTCCTAATATCTAACCTAAACCAGACCAGGTTGCTCAAAGCTTCATCCAGCCTGGCCTTGAACACTGCCAGGGTTGGGGCAGCCTGTGCCAGTGTCTCACTACCCTCACAGGGAAAAACCTTTTTCTAATATTTAACCTAAATTTTCCCTCGTTCAGTTTGAATTCATTTTCCCTTGTCCTATCACTGCAGTTCCTAACACAGAGTCCCTCTCTGGCTCCTTGCAGCCCCTTCAGATATTGAAAAGTTGCTATGAGGTCTCCATGCAGTCTTCTCCAGGCTGAACAGCCCCAACTTTCTCAGCCTGTCTTCACAGGGGAGATGCTCCCGTCCCCTATCAACTTCGTGGCCTCCTCTGGACTTGCTCCAACAGTTCCATGTCCTTCTCATGTTGAGGACACCAGGTTGTGGTGTCAACAACACAACACAACACCACTGCTCGTGTTGCACAACAGTGAGTGACTTCCAGCTGTGACTAAAGCTCTGGCAGGGATGGATGCTCTCAGGGCTGCCCCGAGCATCCCCGACCGTCCCCGCTCGCTCGGGCTGGGTCTCACCTTGGCCGTGGCGTGGGGCGAGGCGCCTTTCTCCAGCAGCAGCAGCGCCACCTTCTGGTTGTCGTAGTGAGCCGCCACGTGCAGCGGAGTCAGCCCGTTCTGCAAGGGGAGCGGGTTAGGGATGGGACCACAGTTAGGGCTATGGGAACGCAGTTAGGGCTGGGACGTAGTTAGGGGCTGTGGAGGTGACCAGGGGTTTGCAAGGGGCAGAGAGGACCAGAGCGCAGTGGGGATGGAGAGGACCAGGGGGCTGCGAGGGGCAGAGGGGAATGGAAGGCAGTGGGATGGAGGGGACCAGGGAGCTGCAAGGGGCAGAGGGGTTGGAGGGGACCAGGAGACTGAGGGAACCACGGGACTACACGGGACAGAGGGGACTTCGGGTCAACAGGGATGGAGGGGATCAGTGGTCAGTGAGGACGGAGGGTACCAGGGGACTGCAAGGGGCAGAGGGGATGGGGGTCAGTGGGGATGGAGGAGACCAGGGCACGGTGGGGACAGAAGGGACCAGAGGGCTGTGGGGATGGAGGGGACCAGGGGGCTGTGATGGGCAGAGGGGACCAGGAGTCAGTGGGGCTGGAGGGGACCAGGGGGCAGTGGAGTTGGAGGGCAAGTTCACAACCCCAGCAGGCAACCCAGTTAGTGGGGAGAAGCAGTGGGAAGGTGACCCAGGGTGGCAGCCACAGGGCTGCATCACGCAACACCAGGCAACTCCCACAGCACGGGGAAACTAGCCCCTGTGTTTATCCATTAGGAATTTAGGTAGCTTGATGGAACTGCTGCTGAGCCACAGACACTATCTGCCCTCAGAGCTGCTGTGCACCTTCTTGCCAGGAACCCAAACCTGATGCACTGGGTATCAGCACGCAGCCATAGCCCTGGGGGAGCACAACCCCAGCAAAGCCACAGCTGCCATGCAAAAGCAGCTGCATGTGCATATTCCACACAGTTCTTCCCCAAGGAAGAAGGCAACATGCTGCTGACTCATTTTCTTTCCCAGCAGTACCTTGCCAGCGGAATCAGGACAGGCACGACGCTGCAGCAGGAGCTTTGCCACTTCCAGGCTCCCATACTTGGCTGCCACATGCAGAGGTGTGAATCCCTTCTGAAAAATCCCAGGAGATAAACCAGATGTCTGCATTAAAGGTCACACTGACATCTTTCTTTTAAGAACCATGTATTATTCGTCACCCTATGTTCTAGCTCTCAGAAGGGGCAGCAGACCTAGAAAGAGCAGCATCTCTCTTAAAGATCTTTGAGAGCATGAAACACAACAAAATACTTTGCCTTTTGTTATTCTTTCCTACGTATGTGCTGTCAGGCATTTCATCTGGGGGCAATGGAGGCACTTCTTCAAACTGACACCCCAAACCAGCTGCACCTTTTTTGTTTCATGGTAACAGCTTTAGGAATATTTCCTGTACCCACTGTTACCAGTTACACTGAAACACCAACTAAATTCAGTCAGAAAAGCTCCAAACTTCACATTCCTCCATTAGTGTTTGTCAAAAAATGATTGGTATTTAGACTCATGTATTCATACAGTCACCAAGCCCTGCCGCAGCTAAAAAAAACCCCCCTGATCTTTGCCTATTTTAATTTCAAAACGGACAAGGAAAACTCATGGATGTATGACAGTAGGTGGCAGCCTGCACTGCTGCCTGACAGGGATTTTGGGAAGCTGCAATGACCTATTTGCCTGGCACATAAGTGGTGTTTAATGTTCATTATCATTATCATTTAGTTCCATTAATCCCACCTCAAAAAGAGTTTGTATCAGGCAATCTCAAACATTTGCAGTTCATGAATCACAGGTCTGTAGAGATATTATCTAGTGGGCTACATCTCCTATTCATCATTAGAGAATGTTCCTGCAGGAGTAATTGCCATCAAGCAATATGGGGAATTAGGAACGTATTTAGTGTATTTTTAGCTGCTCTAATGTGATTTAACAGCTGGATGAAAGGAGAACAGTGAGCACTCCCAGTAATCCGTGGATCATAATTTGGAAATTGCTGGTTTAGTCTTCTAAAACCCTGGAAGACACCCTGGTGTTCAAAAACATGCTGTAAGCTCCAGCTGTAAAACCAAAGGTGCTCTTTTAAACAGTGACAGTTATGTGATTCTCACTTAATCAAATGTGATAAACTTAGACAAGATCTCTTGGCATGTAATTCTCTTCACAGATATCTACTTTCTTACATGTTCATCGCTCTGTTAGCAATCTATTGGTAAACATCTTTGGCTAAAAAAAATCCCCACTAATGATGCTGCAGAGCATTTCTTTTATTACCCCAGACAAAATGGCCTGTTGTGTCACATGGCACCTCCTTTATAGAGCCACTGAAAATAGACTCAGCATTCGATGTGACTGGACAGATGCTGACCTGGATGTTTCAGGGACATTCCTTTCAGCTAGCACAGAGCAGAATTATTTCACTGTTTAAACAAGGTAATGAAGAATAAGCAGGACTGTTCATAAAAGAATGTGTCATTGTCATCCCCTTTTCTTTCTTGAAAGTTGTGCCCAAAAAATCCCTACCCATAAATGGGAAAAAGAGAAACAAGGACATTTCAAACCTGTGTATTTATCAAGATCTGCATTTGGCTCCAGTGGGAACCAAACTCCTCATTTTAGATGACAGCAAATTAAGCTGAAATTTGATTAACTTCTGGTACATTACTCCAGTCTATTGGATTGCTATTGATTAAATAAGAACAAAGCAAAAGACCCAAACTAGTTCAATTTCTCAGAGTGAAAGTACATTCCCCATGGAAAAAAAATCCTCCTGTGCCACTGGAATACAGGCATCTATGACAGTATGCTAAGGGGTTGGAATGGACCTCAGAGAACATTGAATCATAGAACCATCAAGGTTGGAGGAGATGTCTAAGATCATTAAGTCCAACCATTAACCTGTCACTGCTGGAACCCCTAAACCATATCCTCCAGCACGAGATCCAGACACCTCTTTAACACTTCTAAGGATGGTGACTTCACCACCTCCCTGGGCAGGGACACCTCCCACCAGAGCAGGTTGCTCAAGGCTTCATCCAACCTGGCTTTTAACACTGCCAGGGTTGGGGCAGCCACAGTCTCCCTGGGCAACTTGTGCCATTGTCTCACCATCCTCACAGGAAAAAACCTCTTCCTGATATCTAATCAAAATTTCCCTCTCTAAATTTATTCCCATTGCCCCTTGTCCTGTCCCTGCAGCTCCTAACACAGAGTCCCTCTCCAGCTCCCCTGCGGCCCCTTCAGATCCTGGAAGCTGCCCTGAGGTCCCCACACAGCCTTCTCTTGTCCAGTCTGAACAGCCCCAACTTGAAGCAAACCCTTGAAGCAAGAACATGAAGCATTTTGCCTTACTTTGGTGGACATGGAGTGCGAGGCCCCTGCCTCGAGGAGAACCGAGGCAACGTCGACCTGCCCCTCCCTGGCAGAGATGTGCAGTGGAGTGTACCCGTTCCCGTTGGTCGTGGCGGCGTCGGGGTGGGCCATGTGCTGCAGCAGCAGTTGGACAATCTCTGTCTTACCCAAGCGAGAGGCAATGTGCAGTGGAGTCTGTTCTTCCTACAACTCAAATCGAGGAGATAATTAGTGCAGGTAGAACCACTCTGAAACACAGCACCCACATTGATCTATCCATGCAGTTGGGTTGCAGAATTCATAGGAAGGGATAGCACAAAACTTGGCAATCATGGAGGAGAGGGAGGTGGCAAGTCATTGCTTTAACTCCTCTGCTTCAGACATGGTTTTAAGTAAGAAGAGGCAGGAAACATAGCAAGCAGAACACCTACCCTGGCTCGGGCATCAACCAGGGCCCCGTTTCTCAGGAGGCAGCGAACTACTTCCACCTGCCCAGCACGTGCTGCCATGTGCAATGCAGTCTCTCCACGCTGCAAGAAAGCAAAAGCATTCCATGAGCAAACAGAGCTCTGACAGTGCAAATTCCATCCACGACTTGTGCATAGACCTGCCTTGCTGCCAGCTGAGGCTCCGGCTTCAGCCCCAGGATGGCCAGCTCAGAACAGTGTGTGAATGTGTCTCTGGGCCTGGGTATGCTCTGGTTTACAAACTGGGTGATCCCAGACTTAATCTCACTGCAGAGGGTCAGAACAAAATCCTGTTTTATGGAAAACTCTTCCATATAGACTTCCCCTGGTCACATATGTTCCTCAGCTTTCCACGTAACAGTGCGTGAGCTGCTGTGCCTCACAGGAGATAAGAGTACACTGAGCCTGTCTCTCTCAAGGGATTGCAAGGGACATGAGCCTCAAGATGGAAGGAGATATTTTTCCAGATGGTCCCTTCCTGCACACTGTGTGGAGCTGGCAGCACTTTAAGGCCTTGCAATGGCTGAGCACAACTGAGCCAGCATATGAAACGAGTAAAATCTGTGCTCAGCAGTGTGGCTCTGTCCCCAGGCTATGCAATGAGTCTTGCTTCCAGCCTTCTGTAGCCCACAAAATGTGAAGGAGAATATGAATTTTTGGGTAGCTGACTGGAATGATGTGGGATTTCAGACTAGGAACATTCAAAGCATTTACTTTTTGCATAGGTTTGCAGGGAACACTGAAAATAGGCATTCCTTGACAATGGCATTTCTAGCTTAACTGGGCTCTGCTCAGGTGCAGTGTCCTACAGGGGGCTCAAACAGTCCCTGTGCAGCTCATTGGTGGCTGGTGCATCAGTCCTGGGACAGTTCCACAGCCAGGAGCTCTGTATTTACCTGTTATGTCACGAGAACACAACAGGACTGATCACTCGTTGTGTTAATTATTCACTTTTCTGACACCAGAGCAGGAAAATATTCTGCTTTAAGGCCTTTACCCCCTTGACTATCAATTAAACTGCAGCTGGCAAAATGAACACCCTGGTCTGATCTTTTACACCAGAATCAGGAATCATATCTTCTTGTCCCCAGTTTCATGCAGGGAGAGAAACAGCCTGAGCTTGCTATTATAAACTTCCAATTACACCAAACCTTCTTCACCAGGAGCTGATTTATCTTGTCATTTTGAAATTAACACTGTGTTACCAGCTGTGATTAGTGAGCAGGCAACAAACAGAGCCCCATAGCCCTAGCTATAAATCTTAATAATTTCATCTATATAAACTTTATTACCTGAAGAATGAGCTGTTTAAATTGTGAACAAGGTTTACATTTCACACACTCCAGAGATCAGATTTCTGTAACGACCCTTTTGTGCTTGAATTAGCAAAGCAATTTAGTTTCTGGAAACAGTAATTCAACAGGGAAGCTCAGCTTCCCAAGTGAGAGCCAAGACACCTGTGCAGCAGAAACTAAACTTTGCACAAAACTCTGTGGTAACACAACACTTTTAATTGCTTCCATGAGAATTTCTTCTAGCTTTTCATACCATCAGTAATGTTTTCATATAAAGATGCTTCTGTAACAAAGGATAAAATGTCTAAGATTCATGTAAACAACTTTGTGTTCTCAATATCTATATCAGGTTGCATGTAAGACTTTCTAACTGAATAAAACTGATTTATCCAGTGAACCTGGGTTACTGAATTTTTGTTGTTAGGAACACTTATCTATAATCTTATTTACTGGCAAAAAGCTGCTCCCAAAGTGCAGGTGGTCCCAGCTTGAATATTTATTCATACTGACTAATCCAAACAGTAAGTAAAATATCCATAAAATACAGCTTAGAAAATTATCATGTTCTTCCTATTGTTGTTCTCCTTGGTAACTAGGCTGTTGGTATACAAACACTGATTTCTATGGTAAGTCAGGTTCTGCGTTTTGTGTTACCTCCCAAAGGTCACATTTTCCAGATTCAACCACCAGTTCCTAGAATTTCCTGTCCAAGTGGAAGGTCTTGAGTTTCCCCAGCTTTACTTTTTTGTTTACTTGTTGGGGTTTAAGCATTCTCAGTGACAGAAATGACACAATTCCATAGCAGCCAGGGAAGTTGTGCAGGCAGAAATTTGAGCCATTTGGACTCAAATGTCATCCTTCAGAATGGAAACACAGACTTTGTGGGACTTGGCTTATAATCCAGTTTGGCTGTATTTGGTGAGCTTTGCCTGTTTCTAAGGAAAACTTTACCTCCTTAAGCATTGCTGAAGAATACATGAAACCACAGGTGGCTTACAATGTATACAGATACACCATTTCACTGAAGGCACCAGAATAATTAATCCTAAAATGCAATAAAGTCATAATATACCATTCAAACGTGACCTTTGGTTGAGTTATATTAGGCCAGAGCCTTTCTGGAGGTACTGCAAGGATGATTCTAGTCAAAGCCATACTCACAATGTTAGTGACATCGGGAGAGGCTCCGTTCTGCAGCAGAAGGAGGACTATGTTCAAGTGGCCCATAAATGCAGCCACGTGTATTGGTGTGAGCCCCGACTGCGAAACAAAGCAAGAGCAGTTTTACTCCTCTGCACGGGCACAGGGAAAGGGCTTCTTGGTTTAAATCAAACACAAGTGAAAGTGAGGCATGACAGGAGAGACAGAGAGAAAAAAAAAAGGAAGCAAAAAAAAAAATGGAGAGAGATATGTTTCTTCAGGACATGAAAGGTTTTTCTACCTCTGTGATAGCCTGGATTGAAGCCCCATATTTCACCAGGAGTTCCATGACTTTGATGCGATTTTTCTTGCAGGCAATGTGCAGTGGAGTAAAACCATTCTGTGCAAAAGACAGTCATGTTAGTTAAAAACATGCAGCTACACTTCCCACACAGCTCCATGCTGGGAGCAGAAGGGTTAGAGGACCAGAAGCAACTGTTGTTTAAGCACGACAGGTTACGAATTACAGACATCTCCCAGGATCTGAGGCAGAACAAAGCAGTCCTGCTGCTTTCTTCTCAGGCTGTGGAGGGAAACTGAGCCTCCACCTCCAAACCACACACACAAATGTGCCCATCCTAACTGCTGAGTGTGTGTGTGAACACGTCTGTATGTAGTTCCTGAGGGTGCACACATGTCTGTAAGGAGGACTTAGAGTGGTTCCCAAGATTGCCTGACACAAGGGATATATGAAAAATCATAGTGTTCACTTTAGAATCAATTAGTGCCTTTTGAAACTTATAAAGCATTTTCTCTACCTCTCTAGGAGAATCATAGAACCACAGTCAGGTTTGAGTTGGAAATGACCTTAGAGTACATCTTGTTCCAACCCTCTGTGATGCGCAGGGACACCTTCCACCAGCCCAGGTTGCTCCAAGCCCCATCCAACCTGGCATTAAACACCTCCAGGGATGAGGCAGGCAAAGCCTCTCTGGGCAACCTGTGCCAGTGCCTCAGCACCCTCACAGGGAAGAATTTTTTCCTAATACCTAATCTAAATCTACTCTCTTTCAGTTTAAAGCCACTTAAATGGAGTAACAGAGAAGAACAAAGTCCTTCTCCCAGATTACACCTTTTTTTGTCTTTTGATTTGTAATCCAAGCATCCGTGTTTAGTTTGTGTGTGTCTGCGCAGTCTGTGAGGTGAAGCACCATTCCAGCCACGGTGCCACGATGTGCGATTGAGTTAATACAGGTTAAGTGTGTGCCTAAAGCTAAGCAAACACACTACTCACCATCTGTGGATATTTTAGTGGAAAGCACAGGTAACATTTTTTTAGACAGCGTTGAAAAATTGCCATGTTTTCTAACAAAGAGGATCAGTATTGCTAAACAATCAACCAGCAGTAAACAGGACCTAGCAGTGAAGTCTTAGCTTGTGGGAAGAGACACGTGACAGATTATTCTACAGGCAGTTTCTGTTAGGGGAAATGTTAATTACTAGCTGATTTGAAGGTGCTTTAAAGCATGTACAAATTGCAAAGGCTAAGAACTCACATAGTGCTTGTATCCCCAAAACATTTTGCAAATATTCACCATTTTTTCTTTTAAAAAATCTAGCTGAAAATGAATTATTTGTAACATTTATCTCATCGCAGGACTCTGCTGAATATTCTTACTGCTTCTGCAATTGCTAAAGAAGGAATCAAAATCATTTGATATTTTACCTCCCACACAACATCTCTTCATATATTTCACAGGGAGTTTTACTGTTTCAGAACTTCCCATATTTTCCCTGGATTTTGCTGCCTGAGTTGATTTAATTTTGCCACTTCTATTTATGTCAGGAACAGTTTGATGGGGGAGAGGAGAAGGCAGATTAAAAAAATGTATCACTAACAGAAATGATGAGCTTAATTTAATATATTAAACACTATAAACAAGCCAGAGGCGACAAGTCCCTGATGGGAGAGGAAACAAGAGAGAGGGGAAAAAGCAGTTTGGTGGGAAGAGAGCAGAGAGGCAACAGCCTGAGGGGTTATCCCTTTGATTCAGATGTTTCCCAGAGAGAGAGGGAGGAAGGGAGGGGGAGGAGAAGGTATATTTCTGGTCATGGAAGGAAAGCAAGAAGATGTGGGGGCTAGAATATAACATGTATGTGTGGGTAGCTGGGGAAAGAACAGCTAGAGACAATCGGAAGGCTGACAAGAAAAACAAGAAAGGATGGAAACAGTGGGGTAAAAACATCAACCAAGTGAAGATGATACTGAGAAAGACAAAACAACAAAAGCATAAGAAGAAGCAAGAGAGGTTATAGGATTTTGCGGTATGGGGGTTACAGGATTTTGGGGTATGGAAAGGCCAAGAAAAATGAGAGGGCAGAAGACAGTGATGTCAATAAAATCAGTTCCATGGAAGTGAGGGATGGGGAGAGCCTACACAGAAAAACACTGGGCCCTACTGGGGGCAAGAAGCTGCTGAAGGCTTCCAAGTGGCCTGAGGGGACAGTTCTGTGGAGGCCCTGAATACAACAGGCAGTGTGAGACTTCTAGCCATGCAGAAGCAGCTCAAGTGTTCACAGACTCTTTCTTTCCCCCACAGGGTGTAATATATTGGTACCTGAACTCCCATCCAGCCAGCAGTTCCTGTTAGAGAAAATTGGAACCTTGTCTGGCTTTGGATAGATTAAAGACTCTTGTAATGTTCCTGGAGCCAAATGTGATGTTTTTCTCTCCATTAGGAGCAATGGTCCTACCAGTGAGTGAGAGGAATCATACCTGGGCTCCTGCAAGTGTCAGAACAACTGTTCTTTGAAAAGAAAGAAAAATGGCACCTAATAGAGGGGAATGTCCTCACTGGATAAATGCAGAACTATCAGTCTTCCTACATCTTCTCTGTGCCAATTAATTTACTGATTCAGCTGAAAGCTTAGATATTATTTATCACGTTATGACGCCAACATCAGCTAGAACTGGCTCTGATTTTAGGAACTCTGCAGAGCTTCCAGACCTGACACTACAACCACTTGACATGGGATGTGTTCCGTGATGCCTAATGATACAAGACACAACACTGGTAACCATCAGGTGTGATGGTTGCTATTGCACCTATTTGTTTTTGCTGACAGTTATCACTTAGCTTTCCTGCCAAGACCTATTCATCCACCCTGGACAGCTCTGTTACACAACACAGGTGGGACAGGTTTACCAGGGCACGAGCATTGGGGTTGGCTCTCTTGTCCAGGAGGAGTTTGGTGACACGATAGTGGCCACAGTGTGCAGCCACGTGCAGGGCAGTCAGGTAATCCAGTGTGACATCGTCCACGGGAGCTTTGTGCTGCAGCAGGTGCTTGACACACTCCACGTGGTCCCCCTGGGCTGCCATGTGGAGTGGGGAGAGTCCATTCTGTGGCAAGAGAAAGCAGAACAGAACTGCTAATAACTCTCACTTAGATTGTGGCAAGTATTAGAAGGATATGTTGTTGTGAATTGCTGCTCAGTGGGGTTTTTACTTTCAAAAGTCTCATCCTCTCATTCTGTCCTCTCAAAGGGACAGAATTTGTAGGAAATGCATTGATCTCAGATGTGTGTTTTCCAGAAATTGGTAAGAACACACTGAAATAATTTTCCAAGCCTCAAATATTCCATAAAAACTATTAGGAGAAGCTGCAAGTCACAGGTCCTTGTTATCACATATGAAGGATCAGAGAACATCTACCAGGAGTGACTGATCCAGCATTCCCATCTCTGTGTCCTGCAGTCTCAGGAAGCAACACAAGTGCAGTGCTTCAGTAGCACTCCATAACATGTGTTTAGTCTGACATCAGAGAGGGGCAAAGAAGTCTCTACTTTTCATTTATTTGGAAAGGATAGTCCCTAATTATGTAAGAAAACCTTATTTTGGGTCATTCCACCCATTAATACATTTCCTTTGGGAGGACAGAAATGTTCCTGTCTTCTTCCTTGTCCTTTCAGTGACCCTGAAAACTCTGTGGAAAGTTAGACAGAGGTGTTCACACATTCCAATGAGACACACACACACACCTTGGTCCGTGCGAGCAGTGGGGCACCTCGCTCCAGGAGCAGCTCCACAACCTGGTCATGTCCACTTCTTGCAGCACAGTGCAGTGGGGTGAGTCCATCCTTTAAGGAAAAGAAGGGAAAACAAGTGAGCACATCCCCAGCTGTCCATCCTGACACTCTGGGGAACACCCTTTCAGGAATGCAGCCCCTCTCACATATGGAAAAGCTCCTTTTTTGACTCCTAACTGACATTAAGTTTTATCCTGTTCTTCCTTGCACCAGTAAAGGACACTCTGAGGTGAACATCTCCAAGAGGAAGCCCACTGTGTGTTGAAATCTTTTATTAAAGAAGATCATGTGAGCATGTACTGCCTCCTCCTCTCCTTTGCACGGCTTTGAGACTGTGTCGCCTCTCCCTGGATAATGCCTGCTGGGCCAAGGATGCTCCATTAATCAACCCTTGTCCTTTGGATTGCTTTTGATGCAGAGATGAAACAAGAAATGTTCACACTAGAAAACTTGCTCTAGAATTTTCTTTTGCTTTTAAACAGGCATCAGGAGAAAGAAGATTTTAAAACAGAGAGAGAAACAAACAGAACCAAATCTTTCATTTCCAAGAGAGTGGTGAAAAAAGAACTAAGCAACTGTTTGCTAAAACTGCTGTGAAACCACCAACTCCACTATAGTTTTCCATTGCAGAACAATATTCTGTACCAAAAAAACTTGCTCAGACCACTCAGTAATGATCCCAACAATGTTAACAAAAGACACATTGATGAAATAGATAGGAGAATGAATTCTAGGTACTTCTGTTACAGTTTGGACTTTATGCAGAAAAATAGAGCAAACACGAGGCAAGAAAAATGGTTGCAAAAGAGTATTAGTTGAATGACAGAAAAAAGATGACACATAGGATATGGGAAGCCAAGTTCTCATCTCATTAGCCCTTGGTACTGTCCAAACATGCACTCAGAGATATCGTCAACACTCATTCAGCAGAGATGGGTTTATCAAGGTAAAATGGGAACAGTGTTTAACCACAAGAAAAGCCTTTTCCCTTTGAGACAAATTGCTCATCTTGAGTGACATCAGTGCTATTATTCTAGGGAGCTCTGAAGAATCCAGTAACAGCTTGATCAAAACAAGAATATACTGGCCTGAGTTATTCAGAGACTAAAAGTAGCAAAAGTGCAAATACATGGCCTAAAGCATGAGTTGGTGCCCTTGGCTCATGCACATAGTCTGCTTGCCTTGCTGGGTTAGCAGGGATCCTACATCACTGTATTTTTACTTCCACTACTAACATTTTTCATTCAAAGTAGCCCTAGACCACACAGTGACATTGCAATCACCTCATTTTGGCAAACACAGCCCTGTAACACTCCACAAACTTAGTTCCAAGAAGCAGATCCTCTCTCATCCCCATTTCCAAAGCACGGAGTCCCTTTCAGAGTAAGCAGTGCCACAAAGCTCCACTGCCACAAGGACTTCAAGTCTGCAGGGAGGAATTTTTCTCCCTTGCTTATCTATTTCCAGAGGTTTTTCAGACACATGTGACAGGGTTAGGTGTGCCTTGGTGCTCACTGTCTCAGAGGCATCACTAAACCCTATGGAAGCTTTGACGGTGAAGTTCATCAGACGCAGGATCAAACCCAAAAGCTGAATTCACAGTGGGTGAGTGTAGAGCACTGAGTGTAACTACCTTACCCATTGGGTTTTTATGCACTGAAACTTCAGAGTGCCCTAAGCCAAGGCTTTATATGCACAGCTGAGGTATATTATAATCTCACTGCCAGAGGGATTCATACAGGTAATTCCCTTTGGCATTACTAAGGTGAGAATATGTTCCAAACATACTTTTAGGAAAGGCATTTAATTGGTATTTCTTTCCAGTTTCTGCCCTCCTGTGCTCTACATCTTTAATCAATGTGGAAGGTTCACTTTCCCTATCTGCATAGTGGCTTTGATGTTACTCTATTCAATAAACCAGCAAAAGAGAAGTAGAGTTGTGTGAATCCTTGAAAAAAGCAGGACAAGTCTCCAGAGGGACAAAAAGAAGAGAAACACGAGCTAAGGAACACATCAACTCCACAAGAAAGTCTGGCTAAAACAAAACCAAGAACTAAATCATTAAAAACCAATTCTTTCTTCTCAGTTCTTATCTACCACTCCCTTTAAAACAGAGAGAGAAATTTGCTACCTATCCTATTCTATCCTGGCACAGCTGCTTTGTGGACTTCCCACAGAAGTCTCTTCCCTTCCCTATTTCTGCCCTGAGGAAAACAGCATACATATTTTTAGGTTATTGTGTATTTAATACTTTAAATTCTATTTTTGTTCATATGCTTTCTTCAAAGAAGAGGGAAACTGCAGAGAGGGAGCTGGTGCAATAGAGTTAGTACAGAATACAATGAGGACAAGCTGACATGAGCCAACATCAAGGAACACATTGGTATATCAAATTAATCCTTTTTTTCCCCATTATCTATTTGCAATGAGCCTCTGTGCCCTGAAATCAACTGCAGGAGTTTGCCTAGGTACCTTTTGAATCACTCCTTTGCTAATTAAAGAACACAGAGTGACATCAAGCACAACATTTGACAGGACACACAAGGCTGGGCCAAAGGGACACAGACTTTGAAGCACAGATAATGGATATCTCATAAACACAAAGGCCACCAATGCCCAGAGACAAAAAAATCCAGCAATTTTATTTTTGAGAAGTCCAATATTAATCTCCTCATCCCAAACTGTATGCAATGAAGATTTAAATGCTTTAATCTCCCAGGTGACATCCCACACCTGGTGTTCTGCTGTTCCTGTGTGTGGTATTGTCCTCACTAATGCTTCCAAATGTAACCAACAGCTGTGTCACCATTAGAAATGACACTACAATTCCCTCTGTGTGTATGGAAACCATGAAATTCCATCAATCCTGCTTTCCTCTTAAATGGCTCTCAAAATATTAGATAAACTACTTTTTTTCCCCTTGAAAATCAATGCCTGGCCATTTTTTAACCTTCTAAATTCTGTGCGTGGCTCCTAACTTGGGCGAGACAAATTATTGGGTCATTTCACAGTGATTTCAATGCTTTCCTTCAGATCACCAGAGACTGAGACAAAAAGAAGCTGTGCTTAGGAGGGACTTTTAACGGGAAGTGAAGTGGGCAGCACCTTCACAGGACAGTTGTACACATTCAGTGCTCATTCAACCAAAATCTGGTGACGAACATGAACATCCAAGGTCAAATTATCAAAGAATTCTTCTAATCTGCAGCTGCATGTTCTCATCCTTATCAGGGTGAAGTAAAATTTTAGTATTCTGTGTGTCAAACATGCAAAACAGTGTAAACTTCCTTGACAAATAAAAGGCTTTTAATTTGTTCATTTTTCATTATGACTAAACCTCATCTCTTTAAAAATGAACGAGTCTCCCTCTTGCTCTGAGCATAATTAAACATGCTGCAAAGTGTTCCTGCAGCTCTGCCGTTCAAAGTACTCATTTTTAAAATACAAAAGAGCCCACGAAACATGAATTTGCTTGAGCAATAAGATATTAACTTAAATAATTCCAAGCCATAGTAATTATCTCTATAGCCTGGTAAAATAATCCCTACGACATCCCTTCTCACTCCCTGTAAACATTCTACAAAGCCACTGAATTTTTCATAGCAAATATCTGCATTGTGATGAGATATTTTATCATCTGACATTGCTTTAGGAATGGCAAAAATTTGCCAATGAATTATTAGTGCTTTGTGCCTATGTGAAGTTGAGGAGAAAATGTCACCGCAGCATTACAGCAGGACAAACCCTCTGTAAACAGAGCTCGGCGCCAGGGCAGGGCTGGGATCCTGCTGCCCCTTCCACATGGGAATAGTAGGGCTGTGCCTGTTTTGTCAGGATACATGTCTGCAAAAGGACATACTGTTACAAATAAAGCTCAATAGGTTCCCAGAATGAGCCTTAAGGGGTGTCTGAAGCACACTGACCACAAAAATCCCAACTCAACACAAAAAAATCCAAGTTCCACCCACCCTGACTTCCTTCCTTTTCCCATTGGTCTCATACATCTCCATGACTGACCTGCCATTTCTTTCAGCTCCAGCTGAGCCTCCTTTCTCTCCTGTGGCCCTTCTCCAACGCAAACGGCACACCAGACCTTCTCCCACCACCACTCCCTGCTCCAGCTCCAGCTGCCACACTCCAGGCACACTGCTTGGTTACTTTCCCACACAGTAAGTTTCCCTTCCAAGACTAGATGCTCTGTTTTATTCCAGGGATTTTTTTCCAACTGTAAATATTCTGGACCAAAGCCTGCAAGTGTAGTCTAAAGAAAAGCCTCAGAGCAAGAAGAATCTAACTTCAATGTTGGCAAGAATGGATACAACGAACATAAAATGTGTGACAACTTCAGCAGCTGAGACAGGTGAACATGTTCCTCCCCCCTCAGAGGGGTGTTTGCATACTCCTACACACATGGGAATCAAGTGAGGTGATAAAGGCACGTGAGTAACACAGTGTTTAAAAGGAAAAATGCAGACAAAACCTAAAAAAGCCTTTCTTGTTCTTTTTCACCCCTATAATTTATAGAGATGATACAAATAGAGATATCACCAAAACTGCATTCAGAGAGAAAATTCCTAAAACCTGTTAATAGTAATATTCCAGTATCCTGAATATCCTTTCTGTTAATATTTCATTATATGAGGATTAGTCTTTTTAATAGAAATATGTGTATTTTGGCCATGCTGAAATTTCTCTGCTTTTAAACGCTTACAATGATCCTCCCTGTAACAACCCTCACTGCGTTCTGGGAAGGCTGTGAAGGCTTTGCTTTCCTCAAAGGGAGAACTGCTCATTGCCATGTTTATCTTGACCATTCTAATTTGAATCCTAAATTGAATTTTCCAGCATCTTCAGAAGACAAGTTCCTGCACACTGATTCCCAGCCACACTCTGCACAGCTGCTCTGACCCCACCTCCACTGATGCACTATCACAAGTTTCACAGGGCAGAAGTTGAGCCAGATTTTAAATGAAGATATGTCACAGAAGTTCTTACTCAGGTAAATGTGTAGAGATTACAGGTTGGAGGAAGACTTTAGATACAAAATGTTT